TGTGTCACACTCTGGGATTGAGCCTACAATTGCAGGCTCAATCGTGTTCTTTATCACATCCAAATATTTCTTGTTGTCAGTGACCCACTTTCTATGCTCAAGGTCATAGTACATCTTTTGGGATGCAAAATCCCTCTCTAGTTGCCCAAGCGACATCAGCCTCGTTTGTCTCCCTCACCGGTGCCACAGGCTCAGTGGGACACGGTGAGGTGACTACCCAGTCCACCTCAGTCAAGATGAAGGCCAGGTCAATCTTTTTCTTCCACTCCGTGTAGTTGTCACATTTGAGAGTGGGGATCTCTTTGATACAACCCATCAAGTTGTATCCGCCTAAAAACACAATTCATATAGAGTGAGAACATAAATAATAACAACAATTGCATGCCTTGATTCCAACGTTGGTCAAAATTAAAACATACAACTGTTCTTATACACTAATTCTATATCACCGTTGGGCAGAAATAGAATTAATGCATGGAAAACTTATGATTAAACCTTATAATATTTATATTATCAACGTTGGTCAGAAAAATAACAATATTATAAAATTTATTGATTAAAATGGAGTACTCTTCAAATTAAATTCTCCTGTTGGTTCGAATTTAATTAGAAGATCATTAACTTTAACATTGCAGCGGAAAAATAATTCAATTTAATAAATTTTACCCACAGGAAAATTCTCTTTTCTATTTTTAAGCCACTTATCCATTTTCCAGGAAATAACGATTTACTGGAAAAAGAAAAGGAAAAATGGACTCAAATCAACACTGTTCCTTCGGCCCGACCAAGAAATCGGCCCGGCCTGCCTTCCTTGCACTCGCGCTGCCTGCACCTAGGGCGCAACCTGGGCCTAGGCCGACAAAGCCGTGCGGCCGCGCGCGCCTGCCTGGGCCAGCCTTCGGCCCAAGCAATCTGAGGCGTCCGCTTTCATCCAACGACCGAGCGTCGATGTCGCAGGATCAAAACCGGCGCGTGGCTGCCTCCCCCGTAACCCTAGCATCATTTCTCTTCTCCCTCTCTGCCCCGCAACACAGAGAGCTAGCGCAAAGAGCGAACGGCCATGGCGGCCGGAGGAAGTGGCGGCGCCGCCTCGCGCCCCTTCACCGGTGCGTGCGTCCACCCGAGGGTGAGCGCACCGCCGTCGAAGGGCTGCGCTGTGGTGCCCTTGGCACCCGAGCCCGAGGAGGAGCCATGCGGTGGCGTGACCTGCCCGGTCGACGCATCTGGTTCTTCCCGCGCGCCGGCCATGGAGATGGCCGACGACGAAGACAGGACGGTCGGGCCCCAGGTAGGAAGCCGCTTCTCTACCGTCCCCTTTCTCTTTCTAGGGTTAGGGTTTCTTTTTCCGATTCGATTTTTCTTTCGGTTTTGATTCGAGATCGGCGAGATAAGCCCCTCATCCTCTTCCCCTTTCCCTCTCCTGTCTTTGGATCTTGCTGTGTTCTTCTCGGTTCTTTGTCGATTGGGGATTAGGGTTTGGTGACCCTCTCACTGTGTTTTTCGTTCACCCGATCTAGATGTAAAAGCCCTAGAGAATCTGGCTCTGGTATCATTGTTAGGAAGAACAGGACCTTAGCCGTAGATCTAGCGGGTACATCTTTCTATAAACATGATGAACACACCCTAGAACTTTGAACTACTAGATCTAGAGGGAGAGGAAGGGATGGAAATGGCTGACCGTCTGTGCCCTTGGAGGAGGGTCCGCTCACGTCTGCCATGGAGTCGGTGAAGTCTGCGCACGGGCAGCGACGGTTAGAGTGAAGACGGTGACGGTGATGGGCGGTGGCGACCGGCGGTGAAGACCGGTGGCGGCACAGCTGGTGGCTTCCCGTCACTGGCTGCGCCCCTCTCTGATCGGGTTAGGGTTTGTCGGTGGGGAGCTCGGCTTAGGTGAACCTCGTACTCAGAGCCGCCGGTCCCCACCTATATTTATTGCGCAGTGTGACAGGGGCTCTCCAGCCATAGTGGGCTAGGCGCCCCCGATTAGAGAGCGGATCAAAGGCCCAATTAGACCGTTGGGCCCAATTTAGAATTAGAGATCAATCTAACAATATACTGTACTCCTACAAGTACAGGCTACAATGAGACGTTGAAATACGTCACGGGGGTAGTATGTCTACTAGGATGATGCCTGTAGCATGCGGATCGGATGCATCGTCCACTTTGAGGAATGGAATGGAGCCGCTTTTCTGACGATGGATGGATGGATATGCACACGGTTCTGCATCAGCACCAATTCTGTTCGCTGGTTGGTTTCTGGGGTGATAAGCCCAGCTGGTGCTGGTTTGTTGTGAGAGAAAAACAATGTTGCCTGTCTGATAAGCCCCGACTGAAACCAACGAGCGAACAGGCTGATTGACATTTGCCATGTGCCCAGAATCCTGAACCTAGAGAATTCTTGACGATGAAGGTGTTCGGACAGACGGACACGAACTTGTAGCCTCCAACCTACACGAGTCTCCCAACGGAAACAGCAGATGCAGATCTCTATCGCATCTTGTGGTGTTGTCGGTGTTCCAATTCCAACTCCCAGATGGTATTGGTGTCGGGCCTTGCTCTTTCGCTCCTGCCACCAGAGGCGGATAACTGAATCTGCGTCGTCGTAAAGTGTGTGCCGCCCGGCGCCCGCCTTTGCTTTCCATTATCTTCCTCTTCTCTTCCCTTTCCCCTTTCACTGTGCTGTGCGTCAAAAGAATACTCCGGCAGCGATGGCTGGGTTAATAATAATAATAGGACTTGCAGACTGCGGTCTTCAGGCACATTTGCCATGTGGGAAGCACGTCGAGAGCGCACTTGTGGTAACTAAGGGCATGTTTAGTTACACTCCAAAATGCCAAATTTTTTAAGATTCTCCGTCACATCGAATCTTTGACGCATGCATGAAACATTAAATATAAATAAAAAATAAAACTAATTACATAGTTTAGACGAAATCCACGAGACGAATCTTTTAAGCCTAACTAGACTATGATTGGACACTATTTACCAAATAACAACGAAAATGCTACAGTAGCATTTCGCCAAAAATTTCGGCATCCAAACGGTGCCTAATAATCAACCCACCAGAGCGCACTTGTGGTAACTAATCTGAATGGAAATGCTCTCGGCCTATTTTTTTTTTTTGAAATGTTTCGTTTTGCAAAGTAAAAACAAGATCTATCGAATCGACGAAATAGGAAAATACTAATTTTTTAGCAGTGTTAGCTTGCGCTGGACCTGGACCTAGAGGCTGAAGTCGGTCAACGCAACATGCCACCGGAGCAGCAGTCCTAGTCAAAGAAAGCTTTGGCACGGAACGCCATAAATATAAGCCATCCATGGAGCAGGCTTTGTCCGGTGAGAGCGCCATCTGCTGCTCTTTTCCTATCCATCTTCAACTACTAGCGGCGCCATTAGCCCAGCACAGGTACTTCATACCTGCTGTACCACCAGTACATAACAAATCATTCCTGACGACTTGACCTCCACAAACAGCTAATCGCCCACTAATCCGCGTCGGGCGATAATTGCACACCAGCAGCGCCCGCACACGCCCGTCGCGTCTCGCCAACGCCCAAGCAAGTCGCCGTATAAAACCATTGCTGCGGTCGCCGTCGGCGAACATGCATGCGGAGGCGCGCTAAAGCGGCAGCGGCGACGGCAAATACGGTCACGTCACGCACCGCCCCGCCCGCCTTTGCGTTGCCGCCCCTGGCTGCGCTAGCTGGATGATGCTGTATTGCGCTGCCCACTACGGCGATGGATGCCGCCTGCGTCGCCGAGTTAGAGCCCAAGAGTTGACCCTAAGCACCCTAATCGCCCGGCTTTTCTGTTAACTGTCCACATCAGTGACCCCTCTCGGCTCTTGCCCAATCAACGACGATGAGGGGAGTAAATTCCTTGCCGGCTGTGTAAAAAGAATTCTGCGGTGGAATTAAACTAGTGTGTTCTTGAAAACTCATGCCTTTTGAATCTTGAAAACTCACACTACCTTTTTATACAAGCATTAAATGGTAGTGCTTCCATTTTTTCCCCCCGTTAATAACATGCCGGATACGCTGGTTTAAGTTAGGCGCACAACAAATAAGTTAGGTGCACCATATAATAATAATATAATTGATGCTAGCACAAATTGTTTTAGGACGCAAGAGTCCTTTAATTAGAGTCAACGAGGAACTCTCAAAAGATATGCACCCTGTTCGATCGATCGGTCTTCAGACTTTGGTTTTAAATTTTTTGCCATTGTTTTTTTATGAGAGAAAAACACTGTTGGCTGATTGAATAAGCCTAACTGGAACCAACAAAAGATTGGCGACCGAAGATACGTCTGGAATTAATTCATCATTTCAATTTTTAACTAAACGCTGGTTCACGCGGGATCCGCTCCTAGCTCAAACCAGTTAACGAAGGTGAACTAATTTGCAGATTTGGTTAAGTTGTGATGTCACCATTTTAGCCGACTTCAAATGATGATATCATTTGCTACAATGAAACCATTTCATTTTCTGAGAAACCCCAGTTAAGCGCGTGTTTAGTTTGAAGCCAAAATCCCAAAAAGTCTTCAAGATCGCATACATCGAATGTTTTGCGGCTTTGTCGTGAAAGCGTTAAATGTGTAGAAAAAAAAACTAATTACACAGTTTGGTGGGAAATTACGAGACGAACGTTTTGAGTCTAATTAATCTATATTTAAACACTATTTACCAAATAAAAACGAACATATTACAGTAGTCCCAAATTCTAACTTTCTACAACTAAACACAGCCTAATTTCACCAGAGTTTTGCTGAGAATCCATCCGAAAGACGTTTTATTTGGATCAGTGCTGTGGGAGGTGTTTTCAGCCTTCCAAACAAGCCATGTGATGATGTGAAAGCGAGAGGTGTCGCACACGCTGCGTAGTGGAGCTGGAGTGGTAGCCTTGCGCGGCCGCGTCTCGGCATCGGACATCTCCCCTCCCTCTTCTCGCGCATCTCGCTGACGACGCTAGCTTCTCGCCCGTGCGGGCCTGGATCGCCTGCTATGCGACCGCATCTCCTCCTCCTCCTCGCCGCCGCCTGCCTCCCGCCGCCGGCCGCGTGCCGGCTCCTCCACCAGCCCCCGCCGCCGCTGCGGCAGCAGCAGCAGCAGCACGGCAGCGGCAGCGGCAGCAACGTGACCACCGTGGCGCTCGCCGCCGCCGCGTCGCTGCTCGCGTTGCTCCTGCTCTACCTCTGCGCCGCCATCGCGGTGCGCCGGTTCCGCTCCCGCGGCGCGGTGGCGCGGGAGCCGGCGGGGGCGGGGTCCTCCTCGGCGGCGTCCCGCGCCGCGGCGTTCCTCCGCCGGCACGGGCTCCACCACCACCGCCCGTCCTTCACCTACGAGCAGCTGCGCGCCGCCACCGCGGGCTTCGACGCGGCGCGCAAGCTCGGCGACGGCGGCTTCGGGACTGTGTTCCTCGCGTACCTCCCGCCCTCCGGCCGCCCCGCCGCCGTCAAGCGCCTCCATGTCCCGCCGTCCCCGTCCCCGTCGTTCCCCTCCGCCTCCGCCACCATCACCAAGTCCTTCTGCAACGAGGTGCTCATCCTCTCCGCGCTCCGCCACCCGCACCTCGTCCGCCTCCACGGCTTCTGCGCCGACCCGCGCGCGCTCCTCCTCGTCTACGACTTCGTCCCCAACGGCACGCTCTGGCACCACCTCCACCGCCGTGTCGGCGGCCCTGGCGCCGCGCCGCCGCCCCCGCCGCTCCCCTGGCGGACCCGCCTCGCGATGGCCGCCCAGATCGCGTCGGCGCTCGAGTACCTCCACTTCGGCGTGAAGCCCGCCGTCGTGCACCGCGACGTCACCTCCTCCAACATCTTCGTGGAGGCCGACATGCGGGCACGCCTCGGCGACTTCGGCCTCTCCGCCTCCTCGCGCCGCCGGACGCCTGCGCCACGGGGGGCGCCCGCGAGCTCGTGTGCTGCACCGCGCCGCAGGGGACGCCGGGCTACCTGGACCCGGACTACCACCGCTCGTTCCAGCTCACGGAGAAGAGCGACGTGTACAGCTTGGGCGTCGTGGTGCTGGAGCTCGTCACGGGGCTGAGGCCCGTGGACGTGGGCAGGGAGCGGCAGGACGTGACGCTGGCGGACTGGGTGGTGGCCAAGATCCAGGTCGGCGAGCTCAGGGAGGTCGTCGACCCGCCGGTGCTGGGCGAGGACCCCGCCGTGATGGCGAGCGTCGAGGCCGTGGCGGAGCTGGCGTTCCGGTGCGTGGCGCCGGACAAGGACGACCGGCCTGACGCCCGGGAGGTGCTGGCCGAGCTCAAGAGGATCCAAACCATGCTCCCCGAGCTTCCCAGCCGCAAGGTTTCTTGAATCGGATCGCGCAAAATGCCATCCGCTTCGGAATTGAGCTAAGCATATCCTGACATCTTGACTCCTATGCTGACATGTTGACTAAGAATTAGCATGACATCCTGATCGTCTCATGGTTGATGGCATTCAAGAACTCAGGACTCAACAAGAACACTCTGTCGACCAATGTTGCAATTCAAACAAGGCACATGAAGATTAGACCAATGTTGAGCTCAATTACAGGAGGACTTCTCACATCTGCCGTGCTGGTTCTGTGAGATGAATTTGTAATATGTGTGAGCATTGGGCAAATCTGTCTGCCTTCTGTTGTTAGTGTTGTCACCGGTCACGACTCGTCAGGTTATGTGTAGTCTAGTTCTTTTGGAAACTGGATGTACAAGGCTACAACTACAAGCTCTACATTTCTCCGGTCCAATTTCCTCGGTTTCTCAGGCAATTCTCGCATTCAACTGCCAAACGGTGCGCCTTGTTCCGTCGCGTGGGCTCCAAATATCAGTCGTCACGGAATGTCCGAGTCGCCGGTGAGTCGGTGACCCGTGGGCTGCAGCAGGCCTGCAGTGCAGCCTATCGTTCTGCACGTACGCCGTCAGTGGCTTGCGTTGCGCCGCACGCGCGCCTGCCGACCTGGTCCCCGTTTGCTTCAGAAGATCGTGTCGGCTCTCGAGCCATCTGATGGCTGCTGCGATCACAAGACTCGTGATCGTGTGAGTCGTCGACACGATCAGGTCAGAACCGTCCAACGCGCCTGCCGTGCCCGCCATGAAGTCAGCACTGCGGCCCTGCCGGCTGCCGTGGCCATTGGGATCGAAACAGCACTGGCCCCACACATATGTCGCTGACAGGCGGGCCATTGCACTGCACGAATTGCGCGAGCACGGCCAAGCCCAAGGCCCACAGCCCACTTGTGAGACGGCTAGTCCATCCGTGGCCCAGCTGTAATTGTTCCACATACAATCTATCCGATCTCCTCGAAGAATTCTTCTTGGAGCCACAGGCCCACACCACAGCGAGGCCTGCAGCCGGTGGTATCGCATCGCGCCATCGCCCATGCATCCCCTCACGCTCTCCTCCACCGCGCTCCTCCGCCTAATCAAGTCGCTCTCGCCGGCGGCGGGGCCGAGGGCCCACCTCGCGGCCGCGGCGATTCACGGCCTCCTCTTCAAGGAAGGGCTCCTCCACGCCGGGGCGCACCTCCCCACGGCGCTGCTCTCGGCCTACGCAGCGCTCGGGAGGCCGCGCCACGCGCGGGACCTGTTCGACGAGATGCCCGACCCGGGCCTCGTCACCCGCACGGCCATGGCGCGCGCACACGCGGCGTCCGGTCAGGCGGCCCAGGCGCTCGCCGTGTTCGGGGACATGCTCGCGGACGGCGTCCTCCCTGACAACGTGGCCCTGGCGGTCGCTCTCGTGGCCTGCCATGGGCAGGCTCGTTCCCCGCAGCGGGGATGGCGGCGGCCAGGAGACCTGGGAAGATGGTTCATGCCGTCATTGTGACAAGCGGCATTGTCCCGGATGTGTTTGTCTCCACTGAGCTGATCAGGGTGTATGGAGAGTACGGCGAGCTGTCTGTCTCCCGGAGGTTGTTTGATGCGATGCCGGTGAGGAGCACAGTTTCGTGGAACGCCATGGTGCATCAGTATATCAGGCATAGTAATATTGACAATGCCTACGAGCTGTTCCTTGCAATGCCAAGGAGGGATGTAGTGTCATGGAACACGGTGATTGCTGGGTACTGCCTCGTTGGCCGATGTATGGAGGCCCTAGAACTGTTCCGTCAGATGACATCGCCATCTTCATGTCCAGTGCATCCAAATGGACCTACAATGAGCACTGTCCTTGCTGCTTGCGCGGGTGCAGGTTGTTTAGAGACTGGGATTTGGGTCCATGCGCACATTGACAGGAATCACATGAATGACGATGGCTCATTGGATCGGTCCTTGATAGATATGTACGCCAAGTGTGGAAGCATTGAAAAGGCCCTTCAGGTGTTTGAAAAGGCACCTGGGAAGAGGGATCTGTACTCATGGACGACTGTGATTTGTGGACTGGCAATGCACGGTAAGGCTGCTGATGCTCTAAGAATGTTTGGCATGATGCAAGACAATGGTATACGACCAGATGATGTTACTCTTGTTGGGGTCCTTAATGCTTGTGCACATGGTGGACTTGTAGATGAAGGCCTTCGCCACTTCTACTCCTTAGAGAAGTATGCAATCACACCCAAAATTGAACACTATGGATGTGTCATCGATCTTCTTGGTCGTGTTGGGCGATTGGAAGAAGCATACAGCATTATCAGGACCATGCGGATGAAGCCTAATGCAGTAATCTGGGGCGCATTCTTGAATGCATGCAAAGTTCACAGCAACGTGGAGCTTGGCGAGATTGCAGCAGCTGAGCTCACCAGGTTAGATCCAGATGACCCCTGGGCAAAGGTGATGCTGTCCAGCTTGTATGCAAAAGCGCAGGACTGGAGCAGTCTAGCCAGGGAGAGGAGGGAGATGAACAGCTTGCAGATGAAGAAAACACCAGGGTGTAGCTCAATTGAGCTTGATGGAGAGGTGCATGAGTTTGTTGCTGGTAGTTTTCAGCATCCTCAGCATGGTGAAATTTGCACTGTACTAGAGAATGTCGAAGCACAAACACTTGCTGGCTAAAGGGATGTGGATGCCTCATGCCCTCATCAGCTGAGGTTTTTGTTCTGCCAATGAATGTTAGCATGTAGTCGCAAGTTTCATCGGCCTTCACTGGTAGATTAACTGACCTTTGTGCTTTCAATTAGCCTGTGAAGGTCCGAACCTGGCTGTATTGGTAAGAATTGAAGGAGGTAACCATTAGGGCCCAGAGTAATGACTACGTACTGACAAAAATCTGTTCAGGTTGACCATGCTGGAAGTTGTACTAACAATTGAAGCTAGTGGAGGCATAGCACCAATTGTGACTGTGCTGCAGCTTTGGATGTCAGTGGACAAGAGGTACATGGCTGGAAATTCACCGCATTACTATTTTTCTTTGCTTCTAATGGCTACCAAGCTATTTAATTTATTCTGGCGTCCTATCTTGATTATTACCCTTGTCTCATTTTTTGTTGACAATGTACATAGGTAGTTATACAAATAAAACTAGAGTATATTGGATATTTCTCGGTTATAACTTAGAAATGCTTATATTTAGCCCGCTTTATTCATATGTGAGAGGCTTTGAACCTCCTTCCATACGTATATAAGCATTTTTATGATCTAGATAGATAATGGAATTATTTTGAAATTGTTTGTTGATTAGTCCCTTGCAGATTGTCTTCATGTTAAAATGGCTTCTTTGAGTTACTTCAAATGCAAATTCTATAATTCAGTAGGATCATGTAACCCTGCAGTGATACACTCCATACAATTCTCTGCAATGCTGGCATTCATGTAATCCTAAGGTGGCGTTTATGTGCAACTAACAAGTAGCTGATGCAAACTTTCTTTTCATGGAATATATAGCTGATATAAATTGCAATGCAGGTGTATCAGAGAGAAGCACTTCAAGGTTAATTTGTTGAGCAAACTGGAGATGCTGGAGTTGGTATTTTGGCAGGTGCTGTATGCTTTTCAGCATGGCGTGTTTTATTCAACTGGTCAAGTCCTGCAGAAGCTGAAAGCTAAGCATGTATAGGACTTTGCGATGTATCACAATGGGTGCATTTGCCGGTGATCATTGAATCAGATTGCTCTATGAGTGGAGAATGCTCTGGAAACTTCAAAATATGATAGATCTGAGATTACCTTTCATGCATATGCATCTAAGGAAGGTACGGAGGTGATGCGTGTTCTTCAAAAAGTGGAGATGCATCAGGTGAACCGCGAGCGAAATTCTATGGCGCATTTGTTAGCGCAATTAGCTAGGAGCCTGCATACAGCTGTTTGATTAAGCCAAATACCTAATTGTATTGTCCATCTAGTAGAACCTAACTGCAACTTGTCCTCTTCATCAATAAAAATACGTTTGCATTTGCCCTAAAAAAAAGTAGGGGTATACATTGATACATCTGTAGCCTGTAGAGCTCAATTGTCCATGGCTAAACATGGCCTGCCCTGGTTCATCTTTTACCGTATCACACGTAGACAGTCAGTGCACTGCCAAGATCAAGATAGTCTGACGGTCCGCAACGACCACCGAGGACGAGCCACAGTGTGACACAAACAACACAGGCGCACAGGAGCGCAAAAGTTAAGATTCATCCGCTGAGCCCGAGGGCACTACGAATAGCAAGGCTATGTGACCTCTACTGCTGTAGAAACTAAATACTAGTAAATCACAACCTCATCATAAGCGTATTCCTGTAACAGTGTAATCTAACAAGAGTGAACTTGTATACACAAGCAAGAATGCAAGATGTACTTTGGCATGTTATCAGTAGGTCACTGGTCAGTCTCGGTATCTCAGACCAAACAATTTTTCATTTGCTATCCCCAAGATGTATTAACCTGCGCCTTGTTCGCTTGGTTTATAAGCCGTACTTTTTCAGCCAACGAACAGTATTTTTCTCTCACAACAAATCGGCCAACAGTACTTTCAGCCATGGCTTATCAGTCAAGCGAACAGGGCACGAAATTACAAGCTGGGTCTTGCATTTATATGACCATTAACATAGATTGGCTCGGCTGATGTTTAACTCCAGTGCCCTTCTGGTCTTTCACTCCATATATAGCTCCCTTTTAGTCTTGGACAATAGTTACGCCAGGAGGGAGCGTGAATAGCCTCTCAATAACACGTGGGTCATCAAGGCCCTAAATACATTAGCAAGAAATTATAATCGGCTCAGGTAACCAACATCATGTCACAAGTCATGCAAATGGTATTTATTGTACAAGAAAACAGCACAGGACATGTTATACCTTGTAGACTCGTCTTAGCTCAGCCTCCGCATCTCTCAGCTGTCAGGGAAACATGAACAATTAGTACTGAAGCAACAAGGCACATTAATTCTTGCCAAAGAGATAAATCATATCGTACATATCTATCTTCATCTTCAGAGTCATAGAAATCTCTCTCTCTCTCTCGTAAATCCACTAAATTGAGTGACCAGCAGCTAATTCAACAGAACTATCAGGGTGCTTTATATCAAACTTGTCAGGATTGTTACAAGCCTTGCAGGGTTGACCTTTATCAACAAAAAAAAAGAAGAAGAGTTAATTGCCAAGTAACCAAACGGGCCAATTAAGAGATGAGCAACCAAAGGAAAAATGCAGTCATTGGCTCATTGCTATGCATGAAACAGCTAAGACATTACAAATAGTAAAGCTCAAAGAAAATTAGGACGTGAATCAGAGATATATAAAGAAACAAAAAGGGCAAACAACAAGCAGGTCTATACAGAGCGAGCCACAAAATGTATCACAGCAATACTTAGCTTTAGGATAAGAGAGTACGTAATACCATTATTGATTGTATTGACTGTGCAGAAACAGCAGATAAGCAATTCTATATGTTTCCCTTGATTAAAAAGTTTGACTTCTGCAAAGAATATATTGCTGGTGCCGCTCTCTGAATCATTGGCTGCTTTAGAATTTGTATTGAAATTGAGATGATAGCAGCATGACTGGCGCTCAGAAATTGAGTTGAACTTCAAAACATCTTTGAGTTCATATGCGAGATCCTAAAACAAGTATAGATCAGGTAAGCAAAAGTTCCATGAATAAGAAAACAAGACACAGGTACACCTCAATAGGCAGATGGTGGGAGGGGAAGAGAGCAAACCCCCAAAAGATGGTGATCCTCGTTATACTTGTTCACTAAAGCTTGAGCCATTTGGCGCATTTGGTCACGGCCTTTTTGCTTTGCATGTGATTTTGAACGCTTACTTGTGCCATCAGGCCAGTAAAGATCTTGCCGTATGACTAAATCCAATGTAGAAGTATCATTTTGCTGCCTGAACCTAGCATTTAGATCAAAGCATCATAGATGATCAGTACACAGTACTTTGATCAACATGGTAGTAATAAAAAAAAAACAAACAGTACTGTGACAAAATCCCTTGGATCATTTTCAGATCACAGGTTCACTATTGTTGTTTCCTACAGTACATGCAAAAACAGAGTTGAGCAGGTGCGCCTGGCTGAAAAGCAAACTAAACAATCATACAAATTACAATACAAATGATAAAAATAAATGCTATATAAAAAAGTACTGCCATAGCATCTACATGTTTTTTTTTCTACAACAGCAGACCAAATTTCATTACCACACAGCAATGAAATTACAATAGTTAGTTTTGGGCCTACAACAACACAGAAACGAAAGCAAATGCTAGTGCCTCTGAACACACAGGGTTTAGCCAACCAGGCAAACCTCACAAAACAGACTTGCTTGAAATCATTTACTACTGTTCTAAAGCCCAACTACCATCTATATGTACTGTTAAGATTTTAGCTATGCTAATGATTTGTGCGCTATGTCAAAAATGCTCAAACAAAAATAGTTACAAAGTTTGTTAACTGTGTGGTCCCAAGACAGCTTGGAACACTGTGCATGATGCTCTTCTTAAAAAAAACAATTCAATCCATCAGCTTATCTGTAGTCCAATGTTGGTCTCTGGACCATTCATTGCTTTCCTAATCATATTGTCAAAACTGTGATTATCTTCCATGGCCAACGCACAGAAGCATGGTCAGGTAGCCCTGATTGAATGAATATAATCAACTGCAGTTGGAGCATAACGAATGAGATAAATCAACCAACAAGCAAGGTATGTAAAGAAGACTATTGTCATATAGAGCATTTATATGTACCTTTTAACCCCTTAGCTATGTTAATGATTTGTGCACTATGTATAAATTTCTCCGATAAAAACAGTTACAGAGATGTTTCATTAGCTTTAAGTGAGTCCCAAGACAGCAATCTTTTAAACACTATGCACGCAGCTCGTCTTTTTTTTTCTAAAAAAAAAGAATCTCAGCAGATGATCTGTAGTCGAACATTGGAGTTACCATTAATTCTTTTCCTAATCATATGTAAAAAACTGTGATTATCTTCCGTGATCTGCAGATAGAAGCATGTATGGCCATGTAGCCTAGTTTGAATATAATACAACCAATGAGAACGGTGATTAGTTACATAATCTAAGTCTTTTAAACAATCCATCTCTAATATTTTTATACGAATCTCACGTACGTACTCACCTCTAAGACCGCAAGAATGTACTCCCTACATCTATGGTTATAAGCAACTTTAAGTGATCCCGTCAGCCGATCTTAAGATTGACAAAGTCACCATAAATGACTGGTTATGGACAGGCATATTGCTTGACATTGCAAGAAAATATCGCCGTGTGAGTAGTCGAATGAGAGGGGGTAGGCGCAACGTATAAGTCAAAGGTACTTTGTTCCCAAAAACATATCCAAGGGTGTTTTTTAGGATTAAAAAAGACGGGTTGAAAGCTCTTTAGATGTGTTATATATATATATATATATATAGGAAAACAGGAGGGGTTGCATTTATTGACATAAAAGGAAAGATAGTTGTACAACTGATCAGGATACATAGATGTTGTTTGGTTGGCAACTGTAAATGCAAACGGTAATGCTATTGAATTACCCTGGGACCGTAAACAATGTATCAAGTTATTACTGAATTTGTTTGGTTCTTGTCAGTACCGGAAACGGAAAGGCCTCTCTCGTCTTCTCCAACCTTCAGCAGCAGCTGCTGCGGCCACGTGAAAATGCAGAACACCCATGTTGCCTTTGGCTGCAACTCGGTGGAGCTACAACACGAGTGCACAACACCAATGAGTCGAGAAGCAGCCGTCTACCGCGCCGCCGCCGTCCTGAGCCTTGCCTTGGGGTTGAGTCACATGTGAGGGCCCACGCATACGCATCACCAACCCTGCGGCCGGCCACCACCAAGCGACCACGCTATGGCGCTGAAAGTGCCCTGCAGACCTGGCCTTGGGGGCAAACGGGAGCAGTACATACTTGCGGGTGCGTGGCTTCCTCCGTTCCTTGGAGCCGCCATAGGAGTGAATGCTTCGATCGAGTTGAAGAGATGCCAGCCACCATAGGAACGAACGCTTCGAGTTGAGTAGATGCGGAGCGCAGAAGAAGTTTGTACGGGCCGGTATCGGATCACGATGCGACCGGGTTACTGCTGAACTGAAAGAAACGTTATCGGATCACGGTGTAATTGAATGACGTTACAAATCTGTGAACCATACAACATGGCAACGACCCCGGTCCGGTGGCTTCGTCTCGTCCGCGCGAGGTTTGCCAGGGCAGGCGGTCCGCATCACATCACCACAAGTCCACAAGCAGCAGGCACGGCACCGCACCGCACCGCCTGTCGCATTTTTTTTTCTTCGTCCTTTTCAAAAGCTACCTTAAAGCACAATCCTATTCATACACGTGCTGACGATGTTCTTCGCTACTGAGTAGATCGAGACTGGAGAGAGTTGAGCACTCAACATCCACCGCGGTTTCAGTTTTTTTCCAACAACTAGAACATCCAAAAGATTTTGCTTTGGCCAAGTTCATGCCACGCTGACCATGGATCCAGAATCCAGACAATGATAATATGATATGACGTAAAGTACTTGTGATAGATAAAAGTTCGATCCAACCCACAACCAGGCCTTGTTTAGACGTCATCCAAATTTCAAGTTTTTTTACTTTTTTTTCATTACATCAATTTTTAGCTGTTTGTATGGAGTATTAAATATAGGTAAAAAAAATAACTAATTACATAGTTTAGTTGGAAATCACAAGATGAATCTTTTGAACCTAGTTGGTTCACGATTGGACAATATTTGTCAAATAAGACGAAAATGGTACTATTCATCAGGTTCAAAGTTTGATTCTGTAACTGAGGTGATGACTACCAGACTGAAGTACGGACTACCAGACGTTTGCTTCTTTGAGGCGCGGTTCGGTTGGCTGATAGAATATTGTTGATTGATTTATTGTTAGAAAAAAATATTGTTTATCAGTTGAAAAAATATGATATATAAGCCACACGAACGGGGCTTAGAGTTCCCTTCTCTAAGACAAGACAAACCCCTAGCTAATCAATTTATTTATTCTACGGGTAATTTTTTTCAGTAGTTACTGCACTACTGTAGACACCGCAGAGAAATCAGCAGAGTTACCGACGACAAATTAGCAGTACTCAATAATGAACTGAAACTACTAGTGTTCCTCCTCCTCTTGCAGGTCCTGTTCATCCCCTCCCTCGCCTTCTTCTCCTTTGCCTCTTCCAGCGCCTTCACCAAGTCCGCGAGGCACGAGTCCGGCCCGTCGTCGAGGCTCTTGGGCGTCAAATTCTCGGCGACGTCGGCCGGCGTCATCTGCACCTCCGGAGCAGCTCGCCGACGGCGTCGAACAGCGGGTGCGAGTCCACGTCGAGGTACGTCTTGGCCAGGAACTTGAAGGCCTCGAAGCCGCAGTAGGACATCTCGATGTGCTTGTCCATGCGGCCCCTCCGGATGAGCGCCGGGTCCAGCTTCTCGACGTGGTTGGTGGTGAACACGATGATCCGCTCGCCGCCGCACGCCGACCACAGCCCGTCGATGAAGTTGAGCAGGCCCGACAGCGTCACCTTGCTGCTGGTGTCCTTTTTCTCGCCGGGCCTGAAGGGGCCGCCGTCCTTCTTGTCCTTCTTGTCGTCCTCCTCCGCCGCCTCCTTCTTCTTGCGCGACCCGGTGAGGTCGAGGGAGCAGTCGATGTCCTCGATGACGATGATGGACTTGCTGGTGGTCTCGATGAAGAGCTTGCGGAGGTCGGTGTTGGAGTGCACGGACGTGAGCTCGATGTCGTAGATGTCGTAGTCGAGGTAGTTGGCCATGGCGGCGATCATGGCCGACTTCCCTGTCCGGCGGGGCCGTACAGGAGGTACCCGCGCTTCCACGCCTTGCCGACGCGCGCGTAGTAGTCCTTCCCGTTCTTGAACATGTCGAGGTCGTCCGTGATCCTCTTCTTCTCGACGGGGTCCATGGCGAGCGTGGCGAACGTCTTGGGGTGCTCGAACGCCACGTGGCTCCACTGGCTGGTGGAGATGTTGGTGAAGAGCTTCCGCTGGCGGTTCTTCACCATGACGGCGCGGCCCAGCTGGCGGACGCGCGGGAGGTAGGTCTCCAGCACCAGCGACCGGTGGCGCTCCAGGAAGTAGAGGCGGTAGAAGCGGCGCTCCTCCTGCGCGCCGCCGCCGCCCCAAAACGCCGCGGCGCCGTCCGAGCGCGGCGGCGGCTTGGAGTAGGCCTCCCAGAAGACCTTGGCGCCCTGGAACTCGTCCTCCACCTCCTCGCCGTCCGACATGCTGAGCACGAGCTTGTCGGCGTCCTTGGCGCCCTCGGCGCGGAGGTGGCGCACGCCGCGGGCGCTGGCGTCGCTGAGGTAGGCCTTGACCTCCTCGTACGCGTCGCTGCGCTTCATCCGCCGGCCCTCGTACTCGGCGATGGTCACCGACAGGTACGGGTCCACCATCGCCGCCAGCCGCCGCGCGTGCCGGCTCAGGTGCCGCGCGAAGAACTGCTGCAGCTGCAGGTTCTGCCATACCACCGTCCACAGCACGGCGATCAGGCTCAGCACCACGCCGGAGCTGAGCCCGCTCAGCATCGACGACCCTGCTGGTGCTGTTGCTTCCATCTGCTTCTCTCCACTCGCTCGCTCGATGATGGACCCGTGCGGCTGTGCCCGTGCCAGTCACAGCATGCTGTAGCTGGCCTGGTCCAGGAGGCTGGAACACGGCCTCGCCCACTGCCTGTACTTATAGAATCTTCACGGTGCGACCATTGCGTCACGGGCGACGCCGATCGGCACGTCAGCGTTGTTGCGTCCTTTGGAATGCTTGCTCGTGAAGGAGAGCCAAATGGGCAGACGCAACAGTTCAATATTAGCTTCGCGTCGTCGTGCTGCACTGCCGGTTGATTAAGCCTAATTAATCAATCATTAGCACATATGTTAATGTAGCACTTTATTATCAAATCATGGACTATTAGGTTTAAAAGATTCGTCTCACAGAGTAGTCGTAATATGTGTAATTAATTATTTTTTTAATCTATATTTAATACTCTATGTATGTGTCCAAATATTCGATAGAATAAGGTGTAAACTTTTGAAGAGGAACTAAACGAGGCCTTAGCTTGCAACTGAACGAAGAAAGGCAATAGACGGTCACATCGTCTCAAAACGCTCGCTCGTCTTCCATACGTGACTCTTTTAATTTGGAAGAAATAGAATGTCATATTCTGTTTTAAAATAAAAAAAACTCGTTCTAACCCTCTATCCTCCATACCCCACCACGCCGTAACCTAACCTAACCTAACCTAACCTAACCTAAATTAACCATCGTGCGTAACGAGATTTCTTCATGTGCATGATGAACTTTTGAAAAAATATTAATAGTCCTTCTAGCTTATGTATTGGCCGTTCCTTGAGTGAATTGGCTGTTCAACACCACAGGGAGCTAGAAGGTTGTATTTTTAAAATAGGTTGATAGAGCAAAAATGATTTTTGATAACTGCAGGAAAATGATGACGAAGATACCCAGTGGTTGTAATAACGTCTTCCTAGGTTGCTCCACTGTTTTTCTATCTTTCTGGTAGCAATAATAAGTAGGATACTTGACAAGTATTTACTAGATCTTTTAACTAGCACAAGGATCATCTTTAAAACCACTTTAAAACAAGAGAGGAAGGTAACTGAACGGTTTTGAGCGTTTAATGTTTATGGAGTAAAATATCTGTATTTTTTATTTAGAAGGAAAGTCATACTGCGATGATAGTTCATTGAGGCAAAATAGATCTTTCCATCAGTCCCCGTGCTCCCAAGCGGCTCTGCGCGAGCTAGGCCCATGAAAAACAAATCTTGCTTCTGTTTCCACGTGGCCGGGCTGAGGGGGCGTTTTTTGCACCAATTGGTTCTGACTCTACAATTTTCCGAGGAAATCAAACAACCAACAATGCATCTACAAGGCCTAGTTGGGCCAAATATGCCCAATCAATAGCAGTTGACATACGAAATACGAAAACTATGTGTGAACTCATTGCGTCAACTGGCATGTCAAAAGCTTATGGGTAAATTTGTTGTAGGAAATCCTTTAATATTAGTATTTGCTAACAAAAAAAATACTCAATGTTGTCTTTGCTTGATGACACTTTTCAGTGGCATTTAGCTGTTAGACAATAGGATATTAAAATAATAATTTTCAGGAGTAGAAGAGAGAGAAGTTAAAAGTGATCATTATGCCTCTCGCTATTCTACCAACCCTATAGATAACTTATCCTAACAACTTTTCTATATGACATTTGCAACCCATTTCTTGTTCATAACTGTTGGCGAATAAATTTATCATAACAATTTCTCAACATAAATTTTCTAGCAGTACTTTTATATAATACATTTTACAATAACATAAGTTATACCCATAACTTTCTGTTGTTCAATGTCTTCCAAAAAAAACTATACACAACTTAGCTAGCACATTTTTTACACAAATGCTCTGGATCAACCCCTCTAGCTAAAAAAATAAATAGATAGGTTAGTTTAAAAAATGAAAAAGAAAAAAAAGGGAAAGAAAATATGAAAGGAAAAAAAAGAGTGAGAAAATGGGTCGGACCTATCGGATCAGATAACACGGCTGCAGAGCTGTTGTACAAAAGTTGGGTTCCAAATATTAGTAGAAAAGTTATCAATTAAAATTTGTAAATCAATATAATAAAAATTTAAAATTGAAAACATTATGGCGATAAGTCATGTTCCGTAAAATATTATGTATAAAAGCTAATAACTTTCTAAAAATGGATGAGAACAGTTTTCTTTAAAGAAGAAATCGCAGGGTTATCTTTGTAGACCTTTGCCAACCGATTCAACGAACCCTAGTGTGGAATAGAAAAAGGACGGTGAGTATACAGGGAGTCGAAGGTGTCGTGTCGATAGGACCATGCGCCTGGGCAGGGCAGGTACAGGCTCAGTCACATTCTCCTTTTTCCACAGGCACCAGAAGTGGAACAAATTTCATCGGTAAGTAAGTAAAAGAATAGGTTATCTTAGGAGATGAATAAAATTACATATTATCATTATTCTGTGGTGAGCCGTTAAAGAGTTTTTTTTTTTATCTGAGCCGTTAAAGAAATGAGATCAAAGAGATGAAGGGAAACAGTTTTTTTTGTGTGTTATAGACACACAAAAGAAAAAGACAGAAAAAGTAAAAAGGGGTCGATGTCCTTTCGATTTATGGGCTTACAGACCTTAAAGCTGTCAATGGGCCGAGCTCAGGAAGTAGGAGGCTCAGAAAACGACGCTGGTTTAACGGGGCCTGAACGGCTTTGTTAACTGGTGGGTGGGCTTTGCTTTCCGCTTATTCAGTAGTATTAGGATGAATGGCTTCTTCCCGTTCTTCCGATTTCAGATTTCACAGTTGACTATTTAAAGTTGTTTCGGTTCCACAACATTAGGAGCATGTTTTAGTTCGTTCTATGTTCAAATTCTAAATTGTCTAGGGTTGATCACAACACCGAATTAGAGGTAACAGTGTTCGTGATCGGCTGGATTAAATTAACTCTGTCCTTATAAATGTTATTGTATCGCATTTGTGTATAAACTTGAGAAGTTCGATTCCAGATAAAACTAAACATGTTACGTCTCGAAGCAGAGACAGCTAGTACGTTGTCGCTACCATGACGCGTCCTTGGTCCATCAATTTTGCAGTATACAGATCCAAAAAAATGTCTGTACTCCCCGTTTTGTGGCAGGTGACGACATCCGTGAAACCCAGAAATGAGCAACGATTGCTCAACATACGGACTGGCACACATTCATAATCAGGCCACCAAGCACATGGTTACAACAGGCCCGTTTGAGTGGGCTAGGGTCCTGAAAATCACATTAAAGAATTACCCTTGTCTCATCCAAACAACTTTCGTACCAAATGAATTAAAACCCATTGACAACAACCGCTCTTTTCGCTTGAGCTTATTCAAAACTGCTTTTCAGCTATAGAAGAATGTTTTTCTCTTACAATATTTTAGCATAAGCTAAATTTTAGCATCGACGAATATGTGAACATCATTGGAAGTTTGAAATTGAATGGGCGGTCCATCCCGACGACGTGTTTAGCTGCTCTAATAAACCGGCTTATCAACTATAATACAGTATTTTTCTCTCCCAATAAATCAGTTGTACAAAAGCGATTTATAGACCAGCCGAACACGCCCTGAGATGGCAGTGAGATCTGGAAGCCGCCGCCGCCATGCTGGCTGCTGGCTAGCCCTGTGGCCCTGACTGCCGGCCGGACTTCCAAAGAAAAACACGGAGACGAAACGGAAACACGCGCATTTGTCAGCAAAAACCAACAAAGGCAAGGCACATATGCGAAAAAACCTGGCACCCAAGCAACGTAACGCACGCAACGAACCCCAGCCCCACGCCTGACGCCTCCCAGCCGCCATGCTCATATGCCAGCTGAGGCTGCTCCTTTCCGGGCCCCGGTTCAACCTCCCCCTCCCGCGGGTTTTCCAGATGCTTCCCTGACAAGCTTAGCAAAGCCTCCCCAGAAGAGACACCATGAGTGATCCCAAGTACGCCTACCCCTACCCTACACAAGGTAATACTACTATCATGGCTGCATCTGCTGCTCGATCGATCCCCTGATTGATCTAATTTGTGTGAAGAAATGAATGGTCGATCTGGCGCTGATAGATTCATTTCATTTCTTATTGATTTGGTGTATACAAAAAGGATACTACCAGAGGCCGTACCAGGACTCGCCGGTGATGGCGCCGCCGCAGTACGCCGCGCCGCCGCCCAGGAGGGAGCCGAGCTTCCTTGAAGGCTGGTACGCACGCACGCCAACTTGGCCAACTCTTCTTTCATCCTCTGCCACAAGCTTAGCTCTGTCTCTGTGTCACTCTGTGCTTTCAACTCTACTTCTAAGTGACGCGCTCACTTTCGCAACATCTAATCTAATTAAATCTGCAGCCTGGCCGCGCTGTGCTGCTGTTGCTTGATCGACGAGTGCTGCTGTGACCCATCCATCATCTTCGTCGGCTAGACTACAAGCCGAGAAGGGAGGATCCGATCGGCCCATCCTTGCTAGTTCTTGCTCTTGCGTGAACAGACAGGAGCCGCTTCAGCTCCATCCGGATCGAGGAAGAGATAGAATTCTATGGCCGAAGATCCAGGTAAGGACTTGGTTATCTACCTCACCGCATGTAGTGGTGGTCATGGCGTCGCCGCGACGTGGTCACTGATGTCGAAGTAGAAGTAGCATCGTATTGGGGCGCGGTCCAGTGGTGGCGGTGAAGGCGATGGCGCTTTCCATCGTTTACAGCACACACTTTCGATCGGTCTATGGTTAGGACGTCGGTGGGGAGTTGGCGGCTACGTTGAACCTTGTATCTTACGTTCTGGCCTCACCTTTTTCTTTATAGTGCTGCGCGACGGGGGTCTATCAGCTAGGAGAACGGCTAGGCGCCTCCGATCAGGGCACGGATCAAGGGCCCAATTAACCATTGAGTTAACTTGGTGGAGATCAATATAATATTATTTCTGTTGGTGTTTTCGGATCACCGACGAGTAAATTTGTATTTGCGCATCTACGTTCAGTTCGCTGCTGCTCATGTTACCGGTACTTGGTTTGCAGTAGGGGTTACAAACAGACGAGAGAGGGAGAGGATCCTAAGTCTCTGGTGGAAAGAGTGAACGGATGCTGAGAGCTCGATTGCCGCTCAGCCGTGTGCTCGTGTCGTGCTCTTGTGTTAAGATCTCTCCCATGTCGAGATCTCCCTCTCCTTCATGGGGCGTCCTGCTTCCCCTTTTATAGGCGAAGGGAAAGCGCAGGTTACATTGGAGAAAAAGGAGAAGAACGAGAGAGAAGAAGGCTTCTAGGGTCGTCGGGTCATTCTTCTCCTTCATGCGGGTCCCGCCGATCCTGTAGATGTCAATAAGGATGGCTTCATGTCGTGGCCCTATTCATCACTGGCGCCATGTGCAGGCATCATCTGCCGGTCATGGCGTTCCACTCCGTCCCAGCGGACGTTGTGGTGAACTGACGCACCTGTCAGCGTCCGTACGAGGGTTAGGTAGAACAGCACCGGCACGTCCGACACTATTCTTGATGTGAATCCCCAGGTATGGCCCGTCATGGCTACGGGTTACATCGAGGCGTGCCAGCCTGTTCCCTGGCGTCAGAGTTTTGACCCCACGTCCATACGCTTGGACCTGGAGTGGTTGGCGGCGGTATGGGTCTCTGTTGGACGAGATGGACCCCGCGTCCTCGAGGTCGGGCGAGACGGAAACCATGTCCTTGGGTCAGGCGAGATAGAGCCCGCACCCAAGTGGTCGGGCGAAACGGAGTCCGTGGCCTTGAGGTCGGGTGAGGCGGAGCTTGCACCCTGACCTTTTAATACGTCTCGAGCCTTTCGGGGAAGTCAGCGTGGGCGCTAACTTCCTTGCTTTGGGTATCCCTAATATCGATACCCGACAGTAACCCCGAGCCTACGAAGGAGTATGATACTATTGGCGTAAAAATATGGCGATGCGCCTGACACACTGCAAGTCGGAACGATCTAGGCGGAGTCAACCCAGAGATCTACTCGGCTTCAACACAGGACCAGTCGATCCTAAAAATTTTGAAGGCATGCCAGTCAATTTGACCTGCAATTGACAAGGAGAGAAAACTTATCAGTAATTTACGGTGGAATATGTCGGTTTCGTGGGTCATGATTGGTTTATGATAATAAGTACAATATACCCAGATATAAGTAATAGAAAGAAACATCATCAGCTTGATGGATATAACCAGTGTAAAGCATTGAGCCGATAAGTTTAATGAGAAGAGATATAACATGCGAATAAATCGACTGTCTAGTACAAATGAATCTACAAACGCTCTTGATCTAATCTGTTACCATCAATAGTGAAGTTCGACCAGATCGATACAGCTATGATAATAATAACAAACTAAAACCAAAGAATCTATAAAACCATCTATATATCGACAGGTTCATGAAAGACATGCTATATGTGTGAAAGCACAGACTGTAAAGGACCGTGACACCTAATTGGGGGCTGAATTAGGTAACTTAAAACTCTAACTCTAACTAAGGCCTCTAATTTCACCTAGTTAAAACCTATGCAAAAGATAAACTATCTAAATGTGCAACTACAATTTTGCTAGGTGTGTTGCTATCTCTACCGCAAAAGAAGTTATGCAACCTAGGTTTCAAACATATCAACTAGCCTATTACTAAGCTAGGAAAGTAAAGCACACAACAAGATTGCAATGTAAATGTGGAAGTTAAAGAGTAAGGCAGAGATATGCAAACTCCCGTCGACGACTTCGGTATTTTTACCGAGGTATCGAGAAGCGCGTAAGCTTCCCCCTAGTCCTCATTGGAGCCCCTCGCAAAGAATCCCTCGCAAGGACCAAGCTTCCGGTCGAGTAACTCCGTGGATAGCCTCAGGCCTTCCCCACGCGCAAGTGGGTCTTCGACGTATCTTCCGGCAAGCCTCTCCCGGATACTCCCCGCCGTCTTCATTATCAAGCTTTCGGCCGAACCACCGTGAGCCTTGTTCCCTTCTGTACACGGTGACAACCACACCACAAACGCGGTTGGTGTGATCTCGCAAGACTACAAGCTCCTCTGATATACAACAATGGTGCGCGCAAGCATCGAGTGATAAGAGGTGTGCAAACCTCACTAAACACTGGGCCTAAATCTAGAGCAAGCGCATAAGCGGTGGTCTAATCAACCTTAGCACTTCGCAAAGCACCTACGCTAATCACCTAATGAATCACTAAGAACTATACAAGTGGAGATCGCTAAAATGGTGTATCAACACCCTAGGTATGTTTCCTCACTTCCCCACATCTCAAATGGCCGGTTAGGGGGTCTATTTATAAGCCCTATGAAGAAAGTAGCCGTTGGGGGCGAAACCCAGCTTTCTGCTACTAACCGTACGCTGTTGTCGTCCTGACCGGACATGTCCGGTCGTCCCGACTGTTGGAGAGCGCGCGTTGATTGGACTCTGGGCAAAGTCCGGTCATCATCGATCGGACGCGTCCGGTCGCGCTGGCGCCGCTCTGGAACCTTTCTGGACTCGATCGGATGTCACTGCCTGGCGCGTCTGGTCATCCACAGCCGCTACGTCCGGTCACGCTGAATTATTGCCGCGACAATGAACAGTGAAGTCCGTGCGTCCGGTCACTACCTCGTTCAGTGTCCGGTCGCTACTGCTGACACCTGCTGTTGCCGAGCAACTGATCGGACATGTCCGGTCACTCATAGGGCCGCGTCTAGTCGCCTCTGTGGAAGTCGTTTCTTTGTGATCTTGCATCCAGCTTGGTTTCTATCTTCATGCTTGGACTTTGCTTGATATCTTGGGTCTTCTCTTGTGCTTCTAGGGTCTTGCTTATGGTGTTGATCATGGGACCATCATGTTGCCTTCGTCCAAGTCACGTCTTGCACCCTATTGAACTATAAAACAATTACTTGTAAATTTATTAGTCTAATTTAGTTGTGTTGGTCATCAAACACTAAAATCTAAAGTAAATGGGTCTAGGATCTATTTTTCTTACACAGGCGAATCGGCTAAAATAGTCGATGCATACATAGCAAACAAATAGAGTACATATCTCGATCATGAACAAAACCGCTAATCAATGATCTCTAATTTAAAGTCTTATCAGTGAGGTTCGACCGGATCGATGCAGCTACGGTAGTGTTATTAGATTAGATCTCATTAACTAGTGAGTTTATCCAAGATTGAAACATGTCTTTGGATGCATACTATGTTTGATTGGAATAGAAATAAAACAATCGATCTAGCAGAATTAAGCCATCAATTATGAGATTCAAAGTTTGACCAGACTAGAAGATGACCAATTGTGATGATATGATGCCGATCTATCTCTATCTCAATCAGGTGATTTGTTATAATTAATGAAATATTAATTATAACAAGATCGATAACGGGTGAATCAGCCAAAAACAGCAAGGAAAATCTTACTAATCTTAGCAGATTCGATAACTGGTGATATTGTATTAAACAACAAGTTATTTAACATAAGATCGATAACTTTGATCTATATTATGATTCGTAAGAGATCAATCCGCTGATGCAGCCTTACAAATAATGATACAGATCGATAACTAATTTATATTATACTCGTAAAAGATCAATCGGCTGATGTGGCTTTACAAGTATGATACAAGTCGTGACGGTACTCACAGACAAGCCAGAGGTCGATCGGTCGATGCAACCCTGCTTGTTGAAGAACTCGTCGAGATCTACAGTACTCCTACTTCTAAGGGTTGGCGTGAAGCCGAAAAAGTAATTATATTGATTGATTGTGTGTCTTTTTACAATAGCCGGGCTCCAATATTTATACCTAGAACCTAAACATGAATCCTACTCAAATACGATTCATTACAATTCTTTGGAATAAAAGACAACATTCCTAACTTAAGATAACTTGGACCCTAATCTTTTTCTTTTTTTAGAGTCCGACATATTTTTCCCCGACGCCATCCGTACGTAGTCCATTGACGTTATCTGCTGATGTCATCCAAAAGAGTCGATCCCAGTACCGCATCTGAATCAGCTGATATCAATTCACATCTGATCGATTCTTTGATGGTACAATCTTAGAAGCTTTAAGTTCTCGCGTTCTCTCTGCTACATTTTGGTGTAAACACATGCCCCCAATTTTGGGATAAAAATGATTTTATTCCAAAATTTCATTCATCTGTTTACCGCGTTGCAACCATCTATTTCGAAACAAACGCGTGACTCCTGACTTTTCGGGCCAAACTTTATATAGCATCCCAATAGTATTACCTTCAATCCACTCGACCGATTTACTTTCCCCTTCTTCTTCGAGCAAGCCTCAATAACCAAAGCCACCACCACCAGAGCTCCAACCCTAGCTGTTTCTCTACTTTGCTCGAGCTACTTTTCAAGTCACTCCTCTGCAACCCTTTCTCAGATTCAGATCTATTCCAACTAAAATGGCGACCAGCGACTACATCCATGAGGTACGTCTCCAAA